TTAGATCTTCTGCCCATTTTTCGATTGGGTTGTTTGTTTAGTTGTGTGAGCTGTTTATATATTTTGGAAATTAAGCCTTGTTGATCACATCATTTGCAAGTATTTTCCCCCAGTCTTTTTTTTTTTTTTTAAGTCTTTTCATTTTGTTTGTGGTTTCCTTTGCTTTGCAAAAGCTTGTAAGTTTGACTAGGTCCCATTTGTTTAGTTTTGCTTTTATTTATATCTCTTTGGGAGACTGACCTAAGAAAACATTGGTACCATTTATGTCAGAGAATGTTTTGCCTGTGTTTTCTTCAAGGTGTTTTATGGTGTCCTGTCTTATATTTGAGCCTCCCTGATAGTTCACTTGGTAAAGAATCCACCTGCAGTGCAGGAGACCCCAGTTCTATTCCTGGGTCAGGAAGATCCACTGGAGAAGGGATAGGCTACCCACTTCAGTATTCTTGGGTTACCCTTGTGGCTCAGCTGGTAAAGAATCAACCTGCAATGCGGGAGATGTGGGTTCAGTCCCTAGGTTGAGAAGATCCCCTGGAGAAAGGAAAGGCTACCTACCCACTCCAGTATTCTGGCCTGGAGAATTCCATGGACAGTCCATGGGTTCACAAAGAGTCAGACACATCTTATATTTAAGTCTGTAAGTCATTTTGAGTTTATTTTTGTGTATGGTGTGAGGGGTGTGTTCTAACTTCATTGATTTACATGTAGCTGTTCAGCTTTTCCAGCACTACTTGCTGAACATAACTTTTTTCCCCCATATTGTATGTTATTTCCTCCTGTGTTGAAGATTAATTGTCCATAGGTCTTTTTTTTTTTTAACTTTTATTTGCATTTATTTTCTGTGGCATTTATTCCCGAGCCATATGTTTTTGTTTCTTCAGTTTCTTCTGGGATATCTTTTTCTTCTGCGCAACCTCCTCTTCTGGTTTAGGAGCAACCTGTTCTTTTTCAGTAAGCTCATCTTAATGTGGCAGGGAGAGCTCATGTAGGGGTTGATCCGACTGTGAGCTCTGTAAGTCCTGCACCGCCTCTTGGGGTCTTTGTTCACCTGGATGTGCTCAATGACCAGAGTATCTACATCTAAGCCCTTAAGTTCAGCATTACTCTCTGCATTTTTCAGCATGTGCAGTAGAAATTCAGCACTCTTTTTGGGCCACCGACCCTGTGTCCAGCCCCACTGTTTGGCCTGTGCACACCTTACTAACTCCACCGATATAACAATGGAATGGCACACATTGCTTCTTTGAAGTGACATCCTTCAGATACTTGGTGGCTTTTCGGATATTCATATCCTTTATGGCCTGGGCAGTTTTACGAATGTTCTTACAGTGAACACGAAGATTTGAACCTCTTGATTTGCATGATTTAGTGGGGTTTTCTGGGTCAAGTGAATAGCACACCATTTTTAGGGGTCCCCTCAGGCCGCTTACTGGGAAAATGTCTGTAGGTCTTTGAATTTATTTCTGGGCTCTCTGTTCTTTTCCTGTGATCCATGTGTCTGTTTCTGTGCCAATACCATGCTGTTTCAAGTGACTGTAGCTTTGTAGTGTTATCTGAAGGCTGGGAGGTTTATGCCTCCTGCTGTGTTCTTTTTCTTCAGGACTGCTTTGGCAATTCTGGGTCTTTAATGGTTCCATATAAAATTTGGGATCATTTGTTTTAGTTCTGTGAAAAATGTCATAGGTAAACTGATAGGGGTCACATTAAGTCTGTATGTTACTTTGGGTAGCATGGCCATTTTAACAGTATTCTTCCAATTGAAGAACATAGGATATCTTCCCATTTCTTTGAATTACCTTCTGTTTCCTTTATTAATGTTTTATAGTTCTCAGCATATAAGTCTTCTACCTCCTTGGTCAGGTTTATTCCTGAGTATTTTATTTTATTTGTTCATGCTATTTTTAAAGGGATTGTTTGTTCATTTCTGGTATTTCATTGTTAGTGTAAAGTGATGCAACCAATTTCTGTATGTTATGTTTTAGTATTATTTATTTATTTCTAAATTTTTGGCTGTGCTGGGCTTTTGTACAGTTTTGTACAGGCTTTTGTATAGTTGCAGTGAGCTGGGACTGCTGTCTAGTTGCAGTATGTGAGTTTCTCATTGCCGTGGCTTCTTTCTTGTAGAGCAGAGGCTCTAGGGAGCTTGGGTTTCCGTAGCTAGGGCACGTGGGCTCAGTAGTTGCAGCGCCTGGGCTCTAGAACACAGGCTTGGTAGTTGTGGCACATGGACATAGTTGCTCCATGGCATGTGGAATCTTCCTGGACCAGGGATCGAACCTGTGTCCCCTGTATTGGCAGGCAGATTCCTATCCACTATACCACTAGGGAAGTCTGGGATATGGGATTCTGTCTCTTTCTTCCTATTTGTTACTTTAATTAAACCAGGAGGTTTATGAGGCATAAAAATTAAATTATAGCAATATTTGATGAGTTTCCTTTATTTCATAAACCAGAGACCCCTTCAGACAACCTTGGAGATCTGATTGCTGTGAAATTGATTCCTGGGCTTTTGGTTAGTGATGGGTCATGATGCTGCTGCTGGTGCAAGCCGTGTTTACTGAGCTCTTACCCTGGGCCAGGGACCCACATACTTCTCTGTGTTAATTCATCCTTCACCACAGACCTGTTTTACAGACCTCGCTTTACAAACTCGGGTGCCAAGACCCCAGCGGAGTGGCCCCCACCCAGGCTTGGAAGAGGCCGAAGCAGGTTGTGTGCCCGGCCAGCAGGGTGAGGGCTCGTCTCTGAGCCCCTGTGCTGCCACCGCCATGTCTGTGTTCTCCAGACGGCCTCTGAAACCTCTGAATTTGGGAGGCAACACGGCTGTGTGCTGGTGCTTGCTGCTTCACTTTTAGCCTTCAGTGAAGCCTGACATGGGCAGGCTCCACAGGGCTGTGGTCTCCGGAAAGCTGAGCCTGTTGCCCTTCCATAAGCAGTGTCCCTACCTCCTGGGCTTCCTGGGCAGTGGCTGGGCCTGGGTCATTTGAGCCAAGCAGTGTTCTCCTTCTTGGGACCTACTTTGTATGAGGATCTGGGGTGGCCATGGGGATAAAGCTCTTCCTGCATAGCCATCCTGCTGGGTTGAAGTGTACTCACAGTCTTCAGGGCTGGGCCCTGTGAAGGTCCCCAGGCGGCACCCACAGATCCACGGGTGCCGGAGGTGCTCCTACCTGCACTGAACCTCCCTGAGAACTTCCTAGGCGCCAAAGGACCTCTAGGTCCTCCCCTTGCTTCTGGGCCTGAACATTCAGTTGAGGCTAGGTATTGGTGCCAGTAGTACCCAGGTAAAGAGCTAGGTGCTTTGGAAGCCACTTGGATTGCCAGGACATTCATGTGTGGGCTTGGCACAGTGGCAGGTGAGAGGGGAATATGCCCACTTAGCAGACAGTAGCCGGGGTGTTTCAGAAGTAGATTAAGCGGATGTTGATAGGAAAGAGTCGTTTTTGCAGATGTTTGTCCACGGATGTTAATTTTTTATGCTGATTAAGATTTTAGGTGTATGGGAAAGGCAGGTGAAAAGTTAATCTGAACACTGAACTAGCTTTGTTGACATTTCCAACTGGAACAGAGCCCTGTAGCTTAGATCAGGATGGCCCTCACAAATCTGGACGTCAGGGTCAGGGCCTCACAGGCACACACAGGTGGGCCCATAAGGGTTCCATGTGTTCCTGCCTTCGAGGCACCACAGAGTGGGTGCTGTCTTGGGAAGAGGGGAAACACATCCTTATACATGCGGGGCTGAGTGCTGAAGAATTGATGCTTTTGAACGGTGGTGTTGGAGAAGACTCTTGAGAGTCCCTTGGACTGCACAGAGATCAAACCAGTCAATCCTAAAGGAAATCAGTCCTGAATATCCATTGCAAGGACTGATGCTGAAGCTGAAACTCCAATACTTTGGTCACCTGATGTGAAGAACTGACTCATTGGAAAAGACCCTGATGCTGGGAAAGATTGAAGGCAGGAGGAGAAGGGGATGACAGGACGAGATGGTTGGATGGCATCACTGACTCGGACATGAGTTTGAGCAAGCTCCAGGAGTTGATGATGAACAGGGAAGCCTGGCATGTTGCAGTCCTTGGGGTTGTAAAGAGTCAGACACGACTGAGCGACTGAACTGAACTGAGGGCTTGGGATTGGGCAAGGGCTTTGTGAAGTCATTCAGTCCGACGAATGATTGAAGTCTCTTCTGATTTGCAGCCCTTCTTCCCCGAGCCCCTAATCTCATGGTCCTGGAGGGCCTCGGGCCACCTTCTCTGGGTGGCACACATGGTACTGCTCCCCTCAGCTCCTCCTCAACGTGCCTTTAGCCCCATGTCTCCCCTCTGGGCATGGGGGTGTGGGGAGTGGGGGGTAAGTCGTGGAAGGAGTGGACATTTCCTAAGTGTAGACCATGCACAGCTGTTTGCCCACTGCCATGGCCTCCTGATTTTTGGGGGGACATGGCTCACCAGTGACACTGGGCGGGCACAGGCCACAATGTGCAGCCTCCGCTCCAGGCTTGAGTCTGTGCCCGTATCGCAGAGGGTGCTCACCATGCTGTGAGTCCCTTGGGGCATCCTGAGGCCCATGGCCACTGAGGACACCGTCCAGGGGACGTCTCTTCTGAGAGGAGTGTAAGGATCGTATGGCTTCCTTTTTCCTTTTTTACAGAAAAACTTTTCTCATTTCACAAATACCAGGAATTGGAAATAATATTGGGTGGTGTCAATTTCCCCAAAACAGGTTTCTGAGGGAGACTCCGGTGGGTGCTGACACACTCCAGGAGCGGGTCCTCAGCCACCCAGCTCAGCCTGCGATGCCTGCTTGTGTCCCTATAGAGAGGAAGATGGTTCTACCATGCTGAACGGTCCACACGGGGTGCGGGGCCTGGGGAGATCCTGCTGGGCTCAGAACTGAGGCCCAGACGTGGGACCTGGGGTCTGTGTCAGACTCAGGGGCGGAGGATGGCCAAGTCCCTGGTGTCCCCCCAGCTTGTCACTAATTTATGTACTTTGTTCTTCCAGGAAGAGTCTGCTGAGGGCACGGGTCATGGACTTCATCACCTCCACGGCCATTCTGCCCCTGCTCCTGGGCTGCGTGGGCCTCTTCAGCCTCTTCAAGCTGCTTCAGTGGCTGCGCATGAGGGCCTACGTCCGGAACGCCGTGGTGGTCATCACCGGCGCCACGTCGGGCCTGGGCCGAGGTGGGTCGTGGGGCAGTGCTGTGGCGGGGGGGCCGGGGGTGTGGCTGCAGACACGTGATGTCGACTGGCGACTGGGCAGCGAGGGCCAGGAGGAAAAGGCCATGGGAGCGCCAGGGCTGGAGGTGGCAGCCAGGGAGAAGGCCACGCGCATGTCTGGGGCGGCCTCAGTGCCAGTCAGCGTGGAGACGGGCATCTGTATGTGGTGGCACCCAACTTCCTAGTTGTTCAGTCGCTCCATCATGTCTGACTCTTTGCGACCCCAAAGAGGTCCCCAGAGATGGACTGCAGCACGCCAGGCTTCCCTGTCCTTCACCGTCTCCCGAAGTTTGCTCAAACTCATGTCCATTGAATTGAAAAATGTGTTTGCTTCTTTGAGGGTCTTTACTAGATTCATCCGCATCTCTGGTTTAAGGCTCTGGGGTCACCTTCTCCTCACTGTTCTTCACGGGACCTTCAGCTGTATCCGGGCAGATCAGGACAGCATCAATGAGGCATCAGCTGTTCCTCAGCCAGTCTTCAGCTGGGCTCAGTTCTAGTCTGGTTCTAGACCCACATGGAGCTTCTGGGTCCCAGGCTGCCCTCAGCAGAGCGTACCAGTGCAGGTGTGTTGGAATCTGCACGTGTGCCACGCCACCCTACATACTCCCCACACTGGTGCTCAGTTCCGTGGAATGAGGCCAAGAGGCACCCTGCAGTGGGGTACACCCAGCACCTTTGTGTCTCCCACCACATGCTGGGACAGATGACAGGAGGCAGGGTCCTCCCCTCGGGGAGCCCAGGTCCTACAGAGAGGAGGGACTTCTGCCCGTGTGTACCCCATGTGTTCCCCACAGCTGGCAGGCGCAGCACCCAGGTGTGTTCTGGCTCAGGCTCATCTCCCGAGCCCTCCACACACTCAGGGAAGGCCTGACTCCTCCTGGGATCTGTAGGCAGAAACCCAAAGCCAAATGCAAGCCCGCGTCTCCTCTCCCTGGGGAGGCAGCAAGGTGGGCAGGAAGGGCCCAGAGTAGCAAGGCCGTGCGGGGGCTGTGGGAACATGGGGGAGCAGATGAGGACTGGACTGCAGGTGGCCAGGGGGCCTGCAGGCTTCGGGGAGCAGGGGTCTGTGCGTGCACCAGCATGGTGGTCAGGTGAGGTCTTGGGGGGTGACCTGAGGTCTGTCATCAGATCTCCCGGCCTCAAGCCACAGCCGAGCCTCTGACCTTACTCAGCTCTAAATATAGATTCTTAGCGGCCACTGCTTTGCAGCAGACAGAAGTGTTTTTTTTTAGCGTCCTTGAAGAGCGTCTGAGGGTTGGCTTTGCGGGAGAGGCAGCTGCGGGGCCAGCCTGCACGTGTGTAGGGGAGAGGCTGTCCTCTCTTCATCCCGTTTCCTCGTGCAGCACTGGGGTCTGTGTGTCTTTGTGTGTCTGTGCTCTTCCTGCTGTTTCCTGGGTCCCATCAGAGGTCCAGGAGGCCGTGTGTCTCTTCCCCTCTGGCCTCGGTACAGACACCCCTTGGCCACTGCCCATGGGTTGTGGGGAGGAGACCTCGCCCACCCGTGTGGCTCTGCCCACTTTGGCCACCCTGGAGGCCTGGCAGACACGCCAGGTGCTCGTACGGCCCTCCGTGTTCCTCCTGCTATGTCTCCCAGCTTGTCCTGTGGATCAGCAGGACATCGGGTGAAGGGACACATCTTGGCTCCACAGCTGTGAGCAGCTGGTGGGTTATAAGCCAGCAGGGCTAGAGGCCTGGGGACTGGTTGGCAGCCGAGATAAATGTGCTCCTTCTCCTTCCACCCTTCTCTGTATCAGCTTTTTCAGGAAATGAAAATGGCATCTCCCCAGTCTGTTGTTTGCATCCCCATCATTCCTGTGCAAGCTCTAATTTCCTCCCTTTGTTTTGCTGGGAAGTGGATGACAGTCTCCAGAGCCATGTGGACCCCTGTGTCCCCCACCTTAGGTCTTGGTGGCAGCTCACAGAATGTCCACCATGGCGGTCAGGTCAGGATGAAACAGGATAAGGAAGCCAGCAGGGCTTTGGGAAGGGTAGGAAACTGGCCTCGGGAACGCTGAGGGTCTCTGTGAGAGCACCCCCCACCCCTGCCCCACTGCACCCTAGGAGACTCAGCTGGGCTGTGACCCAAGTAGCCCACCCGGGGCCAGAGCAGGGGCTTGATTCAGTCTGGGTTTGAGTCCTTGGTCAGGATGGGCTTCAGGGGAGCGAGTGAGACTGCAGGAGGAGCTGTGTCTGGAAAGAGGGCATTGTCACCCGGAACCTCCTCCCTCCTTTCCTGAGGGACACTGGCATTATGCCCTCACTTTGGCCAGGGAAGGATGTCGCCTGGACCCCAGAGCCTCCTCCAACCCTGGATCCGTGCCCACAGCACCAAGACTCCACTTGACTGCTAGGCCTGAGACTTAGTCTTATACCTAGGGTGGCTGCATGGTCAGCTGGGGCCATGGGGGCTGCACAGACCTGCTCGTGGGCACCTGAGCACGGCCAGGCCTCCAGTGAGGACAGGCTGTGGCCCTTTAAACCCCACGTTTCCATTTTTGCCAACATTCAGTTTTTTAATTTGTTTTTTGGCCTTGCAGCATGGCATGGGGGATCTTAATTCCCCAACCAGGGATTGAACAGTTGCCCCCTGCAGTGGAAGTGGGGAGTCCTAATAAACTGGACCACCAGGGATGTCCTTTGAGCAGTCCTAAAAAGGCGGCTTAGAAACACACTTAGCCCTGGCTGGCACTTTCTTTCTGCCTGAGGCTGCCGTGACGCACTCAGTCCTCGCAAGAGGGAAGTGGGGATGAGGAGGCCTCTCAGGGAGACTGAGTCCGTCACAGGAAGTCTCACTCATGTCTGTCCTCTTGACCTCGGGGCTTTGAGCTTCGCGGCAGTCACCGCTCGGCCGTGTTTGGGGCATCACTCCTTGCTCCTGCCACCCTTCCCATTGTGGTCTTGGGGTTCCCAGGTGACCCTGGCCGGCCCAGTCATGGTGATTCTGCCCCGACCATGCCCAATCTGGCCCTTCCCTCGAATTCTGACACTAGAGCTTGGAGGAAACAGGTCAGAGGCCCCCTTGTGTGGCTGGAGAGTGATGTCTGTGGGAACCCAGAGTTGTCTGCAGCCCCACTCCCTCTGTGGAGAGGCTGGGGGATGAAGTGGGGAAGGGACTTGCCAGCATTCAGAGAGCTGGGCTCCTGCTGCCTGGGACCCTGGGCAGCCCACTCCTGTCCCCCCATCTGGACCGTTCAGCTCCTTCTCTGAATTCCTGAGCTGACAAGCCCGCTTTTTGCTTTGCCACCAAATGTTGACGAAGACAGGTGCCCAGGTACTTTTGGACTCTGCCCTGCCTTGGTCTTAGTTGTCACCTGGATGCTCTAGTGACTCAGAGGTGCCTGGTCTCATCCTCCTGCCTCCCATCATTTTGAAGTGATATTGCTCTTATTGTCCCCCTGCTGTTCTTTAACCTTCTTGCAAGGCTGTCAGCCTCCCCACTTTCTGTCCTCACTGTGTGGAGAGAAATGGCAACCCACTGTGGTATTCTTGCCTGGAGAATCCCACGGACAGAGGAGCCTGGCAGTTCGTTGGGTCGCAGAGAGTTGGACACAACTGAGCAACGTAGTGTGCAGAGAGCATGTGTGTCTATGAGCCCTTGGGCCTGGGCAATCTCGGGAGGAACATCCCTACAGGCTTCAGGTCTGGGGGGGTCTCCCCACCCCCTCACTAGAGTCCTGTGTGTCCACAGAAGCGCCCCTGGCACACATGTGCCTATTGTATTGAGGTGACAGCGAACCACAGGCCTCGGAACCACAGGCCTCGGGGACGGGGGCGACTCTGGTGCTGCTGTTGGGCATGTCCCTTGCCTCACGGAGCTTGTTCACTGTGACAGCGGGGATCCTGCTCACAGCGGGGGTCAGAGCTGAAGACTGTGTTGGAAAATCCTGAGCCTGGTACCCGATAGTCTGTCTCTAGCCTCCCTCCTGCCCGTGGATGTGTCACAGCCCTGAACATGGCTCTGCAAGGGCCCCGACTCCCAGCCCCACACCCCTCCACAGCAGGGCTAGTACCGATGCTTGGGGTAGAAATGGCCCGCAGTTTGAGGCTGGGGAGCTGGGAGCTGAGCTGACGGGGCCGAGGGCCTGGGTCTCCCCAGACGACAGGCTGCTTTCTTGTCTCCTAGAATGTGCCAGAGTTTTTCACGCTGCGGGTGCTAGGCTGGTGCTCTGTGGCCGGAACGCCGAGGCCCTGGAGGAGCTCAGCCAAGAACTTGCTGCTTCCCGGACTCCGGAGGTGAGTGAGCCTGGGGGACTTGCCTGGGGAACAGGTGCAACCCGTCCTCTGCAGGTCTTCACAGCAGACTGGGCTCAGACCCACCACTCTGTACCACTGCATGCTTAGAGAGGTCTCTCTATGAGTTCTCCCCATCCCCCCCCAGTACCTATTCATCTCTTTTTGGTGGTGGGAGGTTGGCAATGACTTTTAACGTTTTATTTGTGGGGGAATACACATATTTATCATTTTAACCTCTTACAGGCTTACAGTTCAGTGATAGTAAGTGCATTCACCATGTTTGTAATGATCACTTGTCTGTCCCCAACAAAAATTGTGCTCCCACTTAAACAATCCACTTTTTCCTCTGCTTTCCAGTCCCTGGAAATGTCTATTCTACTTTCTATGAATTTGCTTGTTCTAGATACCTCATATAAATGAAAATATTTGTTTTTCTATGACTAGCTATTTCTCTAAGCGTACTGTCTTCAGGGTTCATCCACGTTACAGCGTGTGTCCGAACTTCTTTCCTCTTTCTGAGGGAGTGGTATTCCGTTGTGTATACAGATGTTCCACACTTGGTCTGTCCATTTTCTTGACGTACTGCAAGGCATCTCCACCTGTGGGCTGTTGTGAATGATGCTGATGTGGACACAGGTGGACATGTATCTGCTCCAGTACCTGCTTTCAGCTGTTTTGGACATCCCTGGGAATGTAATGGCAGGGTTTGTGGTAGATTTAGTTTAACCTTTTGAGGAACTGCAAACTGTTTTCCACTTGCAGCTGCACCAAGTTACAGTCTCACCAGCACTGCACAGGGGTTCTGACTTCACATCTGTGCCAGCACTTGGCTGTTTTCTGTTTCTTAATTATACTGTCCTAGGAGATAGAAGTGGAATCTCATTGTGCTTTTGACTTGCATTTCCTTAACTACAGGTGGTGCTGAGCATCTTTTCATGTGCTTATTTATATATCTTAATTGGAGAAATGTCAATTCAAGTCCTTTTCCTGATTTGTAATCAGGTTGTTTGTTGTTGAGGAGTTCTATGTATACTCTAGATATTGAGTGTATGTGCTCAGTCACATCTGACTCTTTGTGATGCCATGGACTGTAGCCTGCCAGGCTCCTCTATCCATGGAATTTTCCAGGCAAGAATACTGGAGTGGGTTGCTATTTCCTTCATGGGACCTTCCTGACTTAGGGATCAAAACTGAGTCTCCTGTCTCCTGCACTGGCAGGCGGGTTCTTAACCCTTGGACCACCAGAGAAGCCCTGGAGGCCATGTTTGTACATGGTGATAGGTAAGATTCCAGCTTCATTCTTTGGCATGTGGATATCTAGTTTGCCCAGAGTTCCTTTCCCTCTTGAATGGCCTTGGCAACCTTGTCAAAATGCTTAAATTTAAGGGTTTGTTTCTGGGCACTGTATTCTGTTCCACTGATCTATATGCCTGTCCTTATGTCATTACCATACTGTTTTAATCTGCGTAGTTCAGTAGTAAGTTTCAAAGACTGAAAGTGTGAATCTTCCAACTTTTCTTGTCTCCAAAATTGTTCTGCTATTCCTGAAAGCTATTGCATTTCTATATGGATTTTAGGACTTTTTTTACCTGACAAAAATGGCATTGAGATTTTGATAGGAATTGTGTTGAGTCTAGATCACTTTATTGTCACTTTAACAATGTTAAGTCTTCCAATCCATGAACATGGGATGTCTTTCCATGTGTTTAAATTTTCATTTTTATCATGTGTCTTACCGCCTTCCATGTACAAGTCTTTCAACCTCTTTAGTTAGATTTATTCCTAAGGATTTAATTCTCTTAGCTGCTATTATAAAAGGTCTTGCTTGCCTAATTTCTCGTTCAGATTATTCATTGTTGGTATTAGAAACACAGCTGGGTATTTTGTATTGATCTTGTTTCCTGCAGCCATGACAAGAAGATGGAGGTCAGCCATCAGAACAGCATCCACCATTGGAATACAGCCCCAGTATTTGGGAGACAGGGTCTGCCTTGGCTCCTGGAAGCTGCATGAGAAATGTGGGTTGCCTTTCTCACAGCTTCTCACCACAGGGGAGTGGTCACCACAGAGCTAATGACTGAAATCAGGCAACATTTTCTATACTTTGCTGGATGAGCAGGCCCCCTGGAAGCTGCAGGTGTTCAAAGAGTTTGACCTCAGAGCTGAGTCGCTGCCTTTGAGCTGTCCAGGGAGAGAGCAACTCCTGAGGTCCTCTCCGACTCCACACCCCTCTCTCATCTGCTTAGGTTCAGGGCATCCTCTGAGTCAGAATGTCCACTAGTAGTTTTTTTCTCGCGACGTTCTTTACAGCTATAGTGTGTCCGTCTTCCCCATGAGACCGTATGCTTTAGGACAGAAACGTGTCCGTCTTGCTTTTGCTGTATCTACAGCATTGGGCACATAGGAGTGTATAAAAATGTTTTGTGAACAAAGAATAAACTGACTTGGCCTGAGAGGCAAAGCAGCTCTGTAACGTGGGACAGTGTACAGTGTCCTGCTGGCCTAGGGTGGAGGGGGCCCTGCTCACCTCGTCTGTGACCCCTGCCCACAGCGCTGCCCAGGTCAGGTGTGAGCATGACGGGCAGGCTCCCCGAGGCCACATTCTTCAGGGAAGCGCTGCAGCCTGTCCTTCACGCTAGGCCACCCCCACGATGAGGATCCAGGGCAAAGCGTCACTCTGAAGGTTCATTTGGCTTCTGTCGCACTTGACCAGGTGCAGACACACAAGCCTTATACGGTGACCTTCGACCTCGCAGACCCTGGAGCCATAGCAGGGGCTGCCTCCAAGATCCTGCAATGCTTTGGCCACGTGGACGTGCTCATCAATAACGCTGGGATCAGCTACCGAGGTGCCATTGTGGATACCAGCCCAGACGTGGATAAGAGAGTGATGGAGACAAACTACTTTGGTCCAGTAGCTCTGACAAAGGGTAAGTTCTTGGGTCAGAAGGGAGAAGTGCCCGGGCAGGTTGGCATTGTTTTCATTTCCTGTGATTCCTTCTTCCTGGACCTGCTGCTTATCCACTCCACCCTGGGGTCAGTGCTGTCCTTGCAACTCGGGGTTGGCTTTTCTGGGCCTGGGCCTGAGCTGTGTTGTTGCCTCCATATCCTTTCATCGTGTTTGGCGACCTACCAGGTGCAGGCGGGGCACGGCAGAAGCATTCTGACGTCCTACCACGGTTCTCACAGCAGTGCACAGGGGGCTGAACACTCTCAGACATGGCCCTCCCCGGCTCTCCATGTGAGCGACGGTGACCTCTGCCCTCTCCCCACAGCACTCCTGCCTGCCATGATCAGAAGGCGCCAGGGCCACGTGGTTGCGATCAGCAGCATCCAGGGCAAGATCAGCCTGCCTTTCCGATCCGCGTGTGAGTGCTTCCTCCTCCCATCAGGTGTTCCTGCCGACTCCTCCTGCCTGCACGTCTGTTGTTTACTCCTGTTGTGAAGGCAGCAGGCTCCTTGTCCAGAATTCAGACATGAGGGACGCTCAACACAGCGTGTGGGGACCTGAGAGGCATGTGCCCCTGAGCAGAAGCTGGGCTCAGTCCCAGCTCTGCTCCTCACACCACGTGTGACTATGTGCCAGGTCCCCTCCCAGTGCCACCACCACCATCAGCCCACAGGTGCTGCCCCTCCGTTCGATCACTGCACATGCCTCCAGAGTTCTGCGTGTGATGAGATGTGCAGCGCTGGGGCCCTTACATGTAGTTCTGTGCTTCCATTTTCCTGCTTGACAGTATCTTCCCACTCAGCTCCCTACTTGCTGAATGGATGGGCATCACATAACTCAGGGGTTGTCTCAGTGCCTGAGGGGACTGCCTTCCTCAGTGGCCAGCAGCAGGGATGTGCTGTGTGCCATGTCCTTCTGTGTTTTTATCTCTGGGCATTCACTCGCTGTGAGAGTTTCAGTAAGATTAATTCCAGAAAGTGTAAATGCTGCCAGCTTGACCTCAGTTTAGACTTACCTCCCAGTGTGCACAGCTGTGCCAGGATGGTGGGACTGCACCATCATGGCGCACCAGCAGGCAGATTCTACTTTGTTTAAAAATGTTAGCGGTAATGTCACACACTGTCCTGGTAACTGTGTTCTTTGGTCCACCGTCCGCAAGGAAACACTCTGTTGTAACCAAACCCCTCGCCCCCAGATGCCTGAGGCAGCTGCGAGGAGGGGGTGTATGGAGGGGAGAGGGCGTGTGGAGGGGAGGGGCAGAGCCTGGAGAGGAGGGCCACATGTCACACTCAGTTGGACAGGGAGCCCATCAGAACTGGATGCAGCCCAGCACTACTACTGGTGCAAGTGTGTGTCCAGGGCCAGCTGTGGGGCTCGTGAGCCCACACCAGCTCCCTCACCCCCGCGGCCACACTCAGGACAACCTGAGACACCCGGGGATGCCGTGTCCACACTTGTCCTGGGCTGGTGGGTGGTTTTAGTCACTGGCAGAGGATGGCTTCCTCAGGAAATGTGTGGGCATCACAGCTGACAGCAGGGGCCACACCAGGGATTCAGGCTGGGGGTGCACAGTGCTCTTTGCACTGAGTTGTTTCTAGACATCACTGGATTTGGTCTGAGTTTTATCCTCCTCTTGGCTGTGACTGCGTAGGTCACACTTGGTCTGGAAGCTTCATAGCCCCCAGGCTGGACAAGGTGGTGCCTCCTGGGCACAGTCCTTCGCCAACCCACAGGCAGTGGGCTCCCCAGTCGTGAAGTGGGAGGGGCTTCGTCCCCTCGGGGCTGTTGTGATGCCAGGTGGGAGGATCCAGGAGGTGAGCACGCAGAGCTCTGGGGACTCTTCCACACACGAGGCTGCCCCGTGGGAGCTGACAGATAGATGTGAGGGGGCCTAGCATGGGTTTGCACACATGCTGCCATGCAGGCAGGGAGCATCCCTGGACATTTTCAGCAGCAAAACCTGAAACAATGCTGAGCCCGTTCTGTGGCTGTGACCCTGAGTCACACGGCAGCCGCCCAGCCAGCCTTCCACAGAGAGAATTCTGAGCATGAGTAACATGGACCATAGGAGCAACCTATGGCCATGTCCTCATCTGTGCAGGGACCTGGCTGATGTGAGACACCAGCAGCCTGGCCCTTCTGAGGAACTGCGCTGGGAGGTGTGAGGAGGATTTTCGCTTTCTAACTTTAGTTCCTTCTCAACTATCTGAATGTTTTACACAGTAGACTTTTTAACTTTTAGATTAAATTCACACTTAGAACTTGCAGGAGCAAGAATGCCTACGAACTTTTGACCATATGGGCTGTCGTGTCCTGTGAGAGTACATGTACATAAGATGCACAGGGTAGTCTCTGAACCGGAGTGGGAAACCTGATGCCCTCCTGTTCAGGATCCTGACCAGCATCATCCTACCCTCCCTGGTCACCGACCTTTGCAGACGCGGCCTCCAAACACGCAACCCAGGCCTTCTTTGACTGTCTGCGGGCTGAGGTGGAGCAGCATGACATCGAGGTGACGGTCATCAGCCCTGGGTACATCCACACCAATCTCTCCCTTAACGCAGTCACAGCCGACGGATCCAAGTATGGAGGTGAGGCCCCAGCGTGCGTTCCTCTGTGAAAGCTCCCTGATGATTTTGCAGTTTTATTGAGTATCAGTTTAAACCACCTGACGTTGTGAGGTTGGTCATATATACTGATGACAAACCTCAGCACCAACCATCTCTACCCTGAACCCTGCAGGCTGGAGGAAGTTGTGGGAACAGGCCCACAACAGGGCTGAGGGGAGCCCCTGCTGAGATGCTGCCAAGACTCCAGCTAGCCTGTTGATAGTGCTAAAGCGACCAGGCCAGGTCTCTTCCCGTGAGGTTCCCCTGCAGTGTTGGGGGGACAAGATTTCAGGGGTAGGCAGAGGCCAAAGACAGCACACAGCTGACCTGCAGTCACCATTAATGGCCCAATCGGCAAGGCCGCAGCGTGCAGGTGGGGCCAACCAGGACCAGCTGGCTTTTGCCTCCCCAGCTGGTGGACCCACGAGCTGCCTTTCTGCACTTGCTCAGGGCCTGCCTCCTGGGACGTGCTCCTGGGAGTATGCTGGGTGTCCACCAGGGGCCTCCTGGCCAAGCCTGAACCAAGACCACCCATGCCCACGGCAGCAGCCCCCTCACTCAGCAAGGCAGCAGGAGCCATTCAGAAGCACGAGGCTGGATAAGTTCGTATGCATTTATTCCTAGAAGAATGGCCACACCCCATGACATGCAGTATCTAGTTCCCTGACCAGGGATTGCACCCATGCCTCCAGCATTGGAAGTACAGAGTCTTAACCACTGCACCACCAGGGAAGTCCTAAGAATCTTTTTAAAAAATTCCCTCTGTGGCATTCAAAAATGAGCAGCCAGCAGAAACCTGCTGTTCTGTGCTGACGGTGGAGAGGAAGCCGGGCAGCGCCACTGTGGCTGTGGGTGGCCTCCCCTCTGCCTGCTGCTCCTGCTTTGTGGGCACAGTTCGCCAGTGACAAGGGAAAAGTAACATCCTGTGCCCCTGCACTGACCTCTGGTCGACAAAACAAACCAAGGCTTCCTTCCTGCCCGTCACCCACACACCCGAGACACAGGGGCCCTGCCACCTGCCTCACTCCTCTCACTCCAGCCAGCGTGCTCTGAAGCCCTCCCACCCACCTGGCCCCTGCATGGCCCACTGCCCTGGCACAGCACCCTTAGTCACTGGTGGCACCAACTGGCTGAAATGCCCCAGGTCAGGGAGTGAGGGAGCATCTGCTGGGCACCCCCAGGCTGTGGACCACAGTTCTGAGCTGTCTACCGCCCTCCTCAGACTGCAGGGACGGTCGCTGCACCTGCTGCCCAAGCCCCTGGGAGAGCTCCCTGGGGGACCCAGTGTCCAGAGTTGGCTCAGGTCCTCCTTGGGGCTGCTGCCCCCAAGCTCAGTGAGTTTCCTGTTTCATTTCAGTGATGGATGAGACCACGGCCCAGGGCCGAAGTCCTGTGCAGGTGGCCCAAGACGTCCTGGCTGCTCTGGGGAAGAAGAAGAAGGATGTGGTGCTGGCCGACCTGATGCCGTCCCTGGCTGTTTACCTTCGAACTCTGGCTCCTGGGCTCTTCTTTAGACTCATGGCCTCCCGGGCCAGGAAGGAGCGGAAGTCCAAGCACAGCTAGTGCCCGTCCTGGTGGCCAGGTGGGGCAGTCGCTGCTCCATGGGGACTGTGTTGGACTTCTGCCTCCCGGGTGGGGAAGGAGGGAGACACACTCCCCCTGCAGGCTCCTGGCCAGGCCTGCTGGCAGGGGACGGGAACTAGGAGGACATCTGGGAACCAGGAGGGGTGAGGACAGCTTCCTCCAGGTGGAGGGTCTAAACTCTGGGACATGAAATAAAGGAAGGAGCCTGGGAGCTGTGGTCCCTGAGGGCAGGCAGAACCACGCCTCTTTCATACCTCAAGCCTCTGCATCTTAAGGTCAGAAGACACCCTTATGTCACCTGAACCTGGTTCTCAGGGAGGCAGCGGCCTTCACACTGTTTACGGGGCCCCCAGTGTCTTGGTCAGTGCAGCAAATTGTCAGCATGTGACTGGCCTCCCCGTCCAGTGTGTTGGAGCTGCCCTCCTGCACCAGGCTTGTTTCAGTGACAGCTTCTGCTCAGCTGCCCTGAGGTGGCCGCTGTTTGTCTGCCTCTGGCCACCTCCCCTGAATGTGGTCTACAGGCAGAGCCAAGCTCCCTTTCCAGATCTGGCCCCCACCCTGTTCCCACCCCACAGGCTCAGGGGGGTGGTAGGCATTGCACGGTGGACAGGAGGCCTAAGTCATTGCCAGGTTACCTGTGGACCATATGCCACCCAGCTGCAGACTAGCATTCCCAGGCCTCTGGAATTAAGTCAGAGTTTCTCTAACTGTTCTAAAATCTTTGGCGCTCTCCCTGTAAACAAATGGCCCCGCTATCCCACGCACCCTGATGCCTCCCCTGTACCCCTTCTCACTCTGGTATCTGACCTTCCCAAGGGACCCTCTGAAACTCCAGGTGTCACTCACACATGTGCCCTCAGGGTGGCCCGAGCAGAGTCTTGGGCCGGCAGGGCCCCCTCTTTGGTGGAAGACGAGGGGAGTCTTCCCTCAGCCTGGGGCAGCAGGTTGAACTCAGGGTCCACAGCAGGACAGCCTTGATGCTTAAAAAAAAACACAGGCATTAGTTTGTGTTCTCCTAAATCAGAACCTGGACAAGAGACCCCAGGCCTCAGCTCTCTGGGCAAACTCAGCAGAGACCCAGAGACTGGCAGGCCTGGCCTCGCCCCGCCCCACCCCTGAGCAGCCCCGGGCAGTGCTCCTTGAACCAAGGCCCAGGTGAGACATAAGGCTCCTCTGGGAGGGGCTGGGCCTGCCTGGTGAGAGGCTTATTCTTGCTGCAAGTGGTGCCCACTCCTGCTGCCTGCACGCTCCCACCAGGGCCGTCATGAGAGAGCAGACACCTGGAGCTGAAATTCTCATCATTTTAATGGTCACTAGCCTCTGGCTGGCTCTGGATGGTACAGTTAAACGGCACACTTAACGACCCCCACGCGCGTCCACACCCCCTCCGGAGCCTCGCTTCCATCACATCCTGCTGCCCAGTGGGACTTCCACAGCTGCAGGCCCCATGGCGGCGGAAATCCACGTCCTAGTGTGACGAGCTGAGAAAACCCTTGGTGCACTTGTCACCTGTTATCTCTCTACAATAACAGCCGCGACGCCAGATGCCTCCCTGGCTGGCCGCTCACGGCGTGGCGCGGCGCGGTCATACGGCGCAGAGCTCGTAGATCTTCTTGGCACAGTACACCAGGGCCGCCAGCGCTATCGTGTTGTGCAGTCTCTTTCTGTGCAAGTCGTCCTTCCGGACCAGCACCACCGGGGTGGACGAGGTGAGTGTGTGCAGGGGCAGGCGCGACAGTCTGTAGGCGTCGTACTCCACCTGGTACTTGCAGCAGGGGTCAAACTGCCAGGAGATGCCGTAGAGGGTGCAGCAGGCCAGGCTCAGCACGCCTGCGGGCAGGGAGATGTAGTGGGAGTAATCCAGGGGCAGCGCCAGCGGGGTGAAGAGGCAGGCGGTGCCTGCCAGCACGGTGGTCTTGTGCAGGCAGTTGCCCACAGTGATCCAGCGGGCCGTCTCGTCCCCGATGCGGGTGGGCTCGATCACGATGTACTTGTACTGGGCTTCCAGGGCCTGCTCCAGCTCGTACTCAAACTGGTCTTGGGCGTTCTCCCCGTTGTAGATCTCGTGCACAATGTAACAGTCTGTGGCTGACAGGCTCACCCTTAGGAAGGAGAGATGAGGAGAAAAAGGAGACAGTTATGCACTGGTGGCTGCTCTGTGGCCCGGAGATAGAGACAAGCCTCCCACCACCCCGTGCATACCCAAAGGCCACTGGGAGCAGGGCTCAGAGCTTCCCAGTCAGCGACCTTGCACATCAGGACCAGGGAAGGCGTGTGAAGTGAGGTCACTCCAGAATCTCCATGGTCAAGTGTTTCCTTTGAAGCGGGAAACAGTTGTGTGTTCAGGGCAGCAGTGGCCGGACTGGCGGGCAGAGCTCTGGGAGGATGGAGGGGTGATGGGGAGCTGGCTGCTGGTGCCCTTCTGGTCATGCTCCCGGGGGATTTGGTGGGAAAAGCTACCCAAGCAAACAAGTGAGCAAACTCAGGAGGCAGAGCTTCTTTCCAGATGGATGAACAGTGGGCCTGATGCTCTCCTGAGGCTGCAGGGGAGAGGGTGAGGAGGCACCACTGGGGTCCGGGACTTAGGCAGAGGGGCTCTTTATCCTGGAATAGTTAACTGTAACTAAGTTGGGCTCGGGGAAGCCCCCCAATTAAGTCACAGGCCCCAATTAAACTGTGTGGGTGGGAAGAAGCCATCCCCTGGGGATGGGACACCCTTCAGGCCCTGGCTACAGTGTCCAGTTAGCAGGGCAGCCTTTCTAGGCAGTTAATGAGCTGAACCACTGAAATCAATAAACCTGGAAGAGACGGTCTTCCTCTGGGGCGTTGCTGGAGTCTCCCCATTTGGTTTTTTAACTCAGAAAGGAGACAGGCTCCAGGTGGGACTCAGCTCCTTAGCAGACAAGCTAACCTTTGAGGCATGACCTCAGTCTCAGAGGAGCCATCCTGGCCTGGGATCTCCTTTGTGCTCTCAAGTTCATAATCAAGACAGGCAGCCAGGCAGCGGGAGAGGAGCTCGGGGAGGGAAGGATGGGGTTTGTGCACCGTGCTGACCCACAGAGGGGGTTCTGGGGGTGAGGCCTTGCTGTCGGAATCCAAGTGGAGCATTCTGGCCACTGAGTCCCTCTGGAGCACTGACAGCAAGACACAGGGACAAGGTCGAGATTGCAAAGCATTCTCGCCCAAACCGTGATCTACCTGAGTGCAGCGCCCTGCTTGCCTGGCAGACTGTGGCCACCCCAAGTGCAGTGACAAGACAGGCCCAACAGGAAAGCATCAGTTGACCAGACTGCTCCATTCCGGGGGCATGTTGGTAGGCCCCACCCTCACCTGATGGCTCACCCAGCCCTTCCCAGCTCCCTGGCCTTCACCTCTCTGGCTGAGCTAGCACCCACCCTGGAGGAAGGCTTCCCTGGCTCCTCCCACAGACATGCTGGGCAAGGCCATCCCCACTGACTGGTGCATGTGGCACAGGTCTCTCCAGGCTCCTGGCTCAGCCTGGACAGGACAGAGAGCAACAGTCAGTGGACAGGGGCACTCAGGACGGCCCGGCTGAGGTGGTGTGGACCAGGTGACCACCCGCTGTGGCCGCCTGGAGCCCCCAGGTCTTACTGTGGACTCCTGTCCATCCCCACGAACCAAGCCTCCCAGGGGCCCTCACACAGCAGGCTGGGAGCCAGCCCAGCGGGCATGCCACCGTGGGCTCAGCACTACTTCTGCTTCAGAAGCCAAACCGCTGTACCCTCAAGAGAGGACAGACAGCAACACCCAGAGAAACAGGTCCAGTGCAGGGATGAGGACAAATGCAAGATCCACACAGACTCAAGAGCCACTCACTCAGAGGACCCACCCTGTGGTCAGCGCCCACACCCTCAGCTGGGGTGCCCTCACATCCTGCCTAGACCCCCAGATCCAGGCCCCCAGCTGACAAAGACTATTGCTTCAGAAGCCAGGGGCTATGGCCACCAACCCTGGCTACCCCAGCGCCCACTGTAGGTAGCCTGCTGTGTTTCTGGGTCAAAAGTAACCCAACTAAGGAAAGAACCCAATTAGAGGGTTACCTTAAACCATCTCAGCATCACCAGCCAACTTGAACCCTGTACAAAAAGCAAATTAAAAACAACAATAGCTAACTGGGATCCTTTGAGCCTTACTAAGGGACTATATTTTTGCATTTTATTGAAGGTGAGAAATGAACAGTAAGAGAACATAGTAAAAGGAGCCCATATTAAAAAACAAAACTGAAAGCAGGCTGATAATGGAAAAATCTTCAAACTAAAGTGAAAAAGTCAAGTATAGAACAGTGTCTGTAGCCTGCCATCTTCAGTGCATTTCTGTAAAAGAGTTATGTTTGTTTCTACATGCACAGAATGCTTCTGAGCAGATATAAGACCTGAGAGTTACGACTGTCCCTGGGGAGAGAACAGAGTGGCTCCAGGAAGAAAAGGAGCCAATTTTACTAACTGATTCGGAGCTCTTTGAATCCAGTAGGTTTTGTGGAACTAACGGGACTGGCCAGTGCACAGAACAGCCTGCCATGCTCCTGCTGCTGTGGGGTCAGGGACTGGTCAACTTGCTTCCAGCCAGTCAGTCTCCCCTCTCCTCATCTGAATCAGCCCCGGCAGCACCCAGGAAACAGTCATCAAAGGCACCCTGGGGCCCCCCTCAAAGAACCCATAGGACAGACGCCACACCATCACAAAACCAGTCTCAAAGGAACCTGGGATTACAGGAACCTCAGGCATGGAACCCCCAAAGTCTGGAGACTCCTCCCAAAGTCAGGGTTGCACAAGAATGTTCAAAGCAGTACTGTCTGGTGAGAGCAGAAGACCCCTTACAAGAGCAGAGAAAGACACACACACACACGTTGTCATGGAGATGCTGGAGGGCTCAGGAGTAAGGTGGTTGCTGTCTGCAGGGAGGGACACGTGGACAGGGAAATGCTAACACTCAGTTTATTGATCTTTTCTAAATTATGGTAAAACACATTAACAGGAAGTTTACTCTCAATCAGTTTAAGTATATAGTTCAGTAAGGTTAAGTACACTCACACAGTTGGGCACCAATCTCCAGAACTTTTTTGTCCTGCAAAACTAAAACTCTGCCCCCATTAAAACACAATTCCCATGCTGCCCTTCTGCGGTCTCTCCATGAATCTGACTGCTCCAGGGCCTCGTATAGGTGGAACCACGTGATACTTCTTTTGGCAGCTGGCTTATTCCACTTGGCATAATATCCTCACGGCTCATCCACACTGCAGCATGTGTCAGGATTTCCTTCCTTTTTTCCTTGTATGTAGAGACCACATTCTGTTACTGATCCATGGTTGATGGGTAGTTTCACCTTCTAGCTGCCGTGAACATAGGTGTAAAAATATGTCTGAGTCCCTGCTTTTAATTATTTTGGATACATACTTAGAAATGGAATTGCTGGATCATATGGTAGCTCTATTTTTAATTTCTGAGAAACTTCCACAATGCCACAGTGGCTGCACCAATTTACACTCCCACCAACAGTGCACAAGAGTTCCCTTTTCTCTGCATCGCTGCCAACACTTTTGTTTTCTGTTTTTTTTTCAATAGTAGCCGAACAGTGGGTGTGAGGTGGCATCTCATGGTAGTTCTGACTTGTGCTTCCTACATGACAGCTTTTATTGAAATAGGTTCACCCACTTACACTGCACAAGTCAGTGGCTCGACAATGTCACTGAGTTAACACACAATCAGTTTTAGAGCATCTTCCTCATCTCAAAGAGTAACCCCACTGCTCCCCACCCCCCCCAACCCCTGTTCCTGGCAATCACCAGCCGACTTCTCGATTCCATACCTGCCTCTTCTGGGCGTTTGGCACGAAGGCATCACAGGGCACATGTGCTGGGGCTGCTTTCTTCCTTCAGCCTCATGCCTCCAGGGCCCCACATGTGATAGCAAGTTTGTAACTTTTCACATGTTAGAGAGGTACTTTTGATGGATCTAACATACAATTTTTATAATTCCAAGACAAGATACCTGCTGAAAAGCATTAAAAATGCTATGTATGAGAAAGGCCAATCATGGCCTTTCTTTGGATGGTGGCCCAACAGATAACTTTAAGGAACCCCTCCTGCTTCAGCAACTTCCTGGGCCCCACGAAGAGGCCTGCACTCCCGGTGCCAAGGTGGTCTCATAGTCTTGTGGTCCATGTCCCTGTTCCACTAAAGTGGGCACTGGCCCTGCAACCCACCATCTTTTCTGGTCATGCTGGAACCAGGTGAACCGAACCAGGGCAGGGACCTGCTTTAGGGACCTTTTTTTGGAGTGGCCCTGGGCTCCTGTACTCAGCTCAAACACAGAAGGAGGTGACGCAAAGCTCCTTGAGGGCTGTGACTGTCTTCATCATAGTCACCCTCTGCCCCCGCCCTGGGCCTGAAAGTTTCAGGTTCCCAACAGACTTAGAGGAAGTACTTTGGAAGGGAGTGACAAGAGGGCTTCCTGGGTGGTCCAGTGATTAAGAATCTACCTTGTAATGCAAGGTCCTGGTCTGGGAGGATCCCACATGCTGTGGGGCATCAACTACTAAGCCTGTGCTGGAACCTGTGTTCCACACCAAGAGATGCCACCACAATGAGAAGACCACGAGAAGCAACTAGAGAAAGCCAGCGTGCAGCAATGAAGACCCGGCACAGCAAAAAAAAAAAAAACAAAAAACAAAGGAGCGACAAGAGGAGAAAATGACAGTGATTAGAGCACCTGTGGCTGAAAACCTGTTAAATTGTTGTAAAAATTAAACTATCACTTCCTTGGAAGCCAAGGAAATCAGTAAAATCCTATGCTGTGGACTCAAAGGCCAGTTAGGGACTTCCCAGGTGGTCCACTGGTTAAGAATCCACCTCCCAATACAGGGCACACAGGTTCAAATCCTGGTTTGGGAAGATCCCACATATGCATTGTTGATGGGAATGTAAATTGGAGCAGCCACTGTGGCAAATGTGTAGAAGTTGCTCAAAAAATAGAGCTACTATATGATCCAGCAATCCCGCTTCTAGGTATAGATCCAAAATAATTAAAAGCAGGACTCAAACTCAAACATATTTTTGCACCCATGTTCACAGCAGAATCAATAACAACAGTTAGAAGGGGCAAGGAAGCCAATGAGCTGCAGTGACTGAGCCCGTGTGCCTCAACTAGAGAGAGGTAGGCCCACATAACTCAAGGAAAGAGTCTGCGTTCCACAACCAAGACCTGATGCAGTAAAAAATAAATACTTAAAAAAAAAAAGTGTGTGGGGGGGAAACTTCTCTAGTAGTCCAGTGGTTAAGACTTCGCCTTCCAATGCAGGCGATCTGGATTTGATCCCTGGTCAGGGAACTAAGATCCCACATGCCTCATGGCCAAGAAAACAAAACATAAAACAGAAGCAATTTTGTAATAAATTCAATAAAGACTTTAAAACAGTACAGACCAACAGCTTCTACTGGAAGCCTGGGGATTCTCTTAAAAAAAAAAAAAATTAACACAACATTGTAAATCAACTATACTTCAATAAAACAAACTTTAAAAACATGCAAGTGGCTCTCATTCTTTATTTCCATCCCTCTCTTATCCTGGTCTAGACCAGAGCTGACCTTTCTGTTCTCTATCTGCACCATCCAGTATATGAGCCACAAGCCATGGCTGGCTACTGATTTACTTGCAATGTGAGTACTTTGGCTGAGGAGCTGAAGTTTTCACTTTAATTTAGATTTAATTGTTGCAAATGACAAGTGGGCACTGAATTAACACAGCTCTAGACTCAAGAATCAGGTAAAGCGAGAATCCACACACTGTGCCTTCTAAACTGGACAGCCACTAACACACAGATGACAGCAGTAACTCCTGCCAACTGTCGGGCACCAAGCAGGGCCTTCAAGCCCAAGGCAGGCTTTGGAGTTTGCAGCCACAGGCAAATCTGGAAAGCCTGCCCAAAGCATTGCTCTGCTCCAGCCAATGCCCCAAACCAGGCCATGTTTCCTAGAGTGTCAGCATAAACCAGATTCCAACTAAGGGTGTGTGACAATTTGGGAAAGTGGTCTTACAGTGTGGAGCTGAAATCTGAGTCAGCACAAATGTGACAAGGAACAAAGTCATTCAAGAGCACCATAAACAGCCTACTGTAGTCACGGAGCCTCTAGTTTGCCTGGGCTTCAGTCTATGCTGTGGGCAGTTAATCCGCCTGCCCCACCCCAAAGTCCTCCCACCCACTGAGCAGGAATGGAGGTGTGCCTGGCCGGGTTAGGTTTCCACCCCCTGCTCAGTGTGGGCTCAGGGAAACCAGGCCCCAGCAAACGCTCCTCCAGCAGAGCAAACAGGGGCCCCGCAGCCATACCATGTTATCTAGGAGAAGGGCAGATGGTGCCACCCAAACCACAAAACTAGACGCCCCATTCCTGGCTGACACACAACATGTGCATGTACAAGCAGAGCCTGCTGTTCAGGTGGAAGGGTGTAGTGTGAACACTTAAGCAGACTGGGCATGTAACTGCAATGAGTCAAGCTGTCAGGTAGGAATGATGAACACCTGCCCTGACCAAAGAGAGCCAATGAGAGCTTTCCAAGGGGACTTTAATGTGAAGTCTTTCCATTTACAAGCACTGATAACTCACTCAAAATTCTCTTTAAAACTGACGGTCACAGTCAAGGACTAAATTCAGCCTTTGGGATCTTGGTTTGCAAACTCAATTTTGAATTAACACTTGTCTTAAAACAAGGAGAAAAAAAACCCCACATCTAATTTCTTAGATCAGTAAAGGCTTCTGTTTTGCCAGCGTGGCCCTGTATGAGGTCTGGGTCTCCTCATTTGGCCCTTTCTGTTGTTTCTATCCCGTAAGGCGATCACCTCCTTAACTTTTTATGGAACGATCTACGAAATGCCAGGTGGAAGTAGGAAAAACAAAAGTACCTGCTGGCCATTTACTGCTGCTTCAAGGAAGAGGAAGTGCAGAAGAGACAAGGTTGGATAACAGCTCAAGAATAAGATGCAAGCTAGAGGGTTCTATCAACACAACTAACCTCAGTTGGTAAAGAATCTGCCTGAAATGCAAGAGACCCGGGTTCGATCCCTGGATCGGGAAGACCCCCTGGAGAAGGAAATGGCAACCTACTCCAATATTCTTGCCTGGAAAATCCCATGGACAAAGGAGCCTGGCAGGCTACAGTTCATGGGGTCTCAAGAGTGGGACGCGACTTAGCGACCTAAACCACAAACAGGAGGCGACCGCAAAGAGTAGGTGGTGCAAACCATCAAAGAAAAAGAATAACGCAGAGTAGTTGGGAGAAAAGGAGTGGGGGCGGGGGAGACAACTTTTCTGTTTAACAATCCTCATTGGGGGAAAAAAAAACAACACGGAGATCCTGCTGATTTCTGCCGCACCAGCCCGCTCGTAACAGAAGGGTCAGGACAGTACAAAGCGGGTGACTCCACCAGTACATCTCCTTTCCCAAACTTCTGGTGTCTGAACAGCTTCTACTAAGCTGAAACTGTTTTCCAGAAGCAAAAACTGTAAATTCAACACGAAACACGAGAACTACTCCAATCTCATCTAGAAATGAGTCCGTCCCATCCAGATCCACCTTGGACGAACCAAGCCCCCGGTTCCCTACTCACGCACATTCGTTAGGGAAGGTCACTGCAAAGGACTTCCACAGCAGGGGCGCTCACGGAGACGCCTCCAAAGTCCCGAGGATCACCCCCGGGGGAAAGCGGTCAGCTCCCCGTCCGGAGCGACAACGCGGAAAGCTGAGGCCTCTCGGAAACCGTGCGGTCCGTCCCGTCCGCCCCGCACCGGCTCCCTGAGAAAGCTTCCCCTTCCTTCTCCGTCCCGGGAACCACTCCTCGCTGCGGCTTGGAGAAGACCACGCGCGCGGCCAGGCGGGCGGGGGCTCCGGCGGCGCTCTGCCCGTGCCATGCAGGCGGGTCCCGCCGCGGCCCAGCAGTGCCCCGCCAGCCATCACCCCTCCCCGAGCCGCCCGCTGAGACCGCGTCGGCCGGAACTGAGACCTCGCGCGCCCGGGGGCGGACCAGGGCGATCCCCGGGGCGGAGGCGGGGACGGCGCTGCAGTCCAAAGAGCCCCGCCGGTTTCCCGCCCTAAACCGCTCGCGGAGAGCAGCCCGCGCCTCACCTCTCTCGAGCGCCGCCACCGCCGCTTCCCGGGCCGAGACGCCTCCTTCCCCACGCGGCCATCTTGGAGACTCTCCGCTCGCGAACGCCTCGCGCCGGGCCGCCTCGCGACACCGCGCGGGCGGGAGGGAGATGTAGTCCGGCTGCCTTCCCGGACGGCGCGCAAGGCGGGGGCCCTGCCCCGCGAGACTACAAAGTCCACAACGCACCGCGCTCCGGAAGCCCGTCCCGCGGCCGCCTGGGAACGCGGGCTCAGACAGGCGGCGTTGAGGGTCCATTTCCGGACTAGACTTCACCCGGCACCCTGTGCTTTGAGAGCTTCGACCGCTGAGGTCACCGAAGGGCCACTGCCACTCATCCCCCAAATACTTGGGAGGCAAAAGAGACGAGGTGACCGCCGCGGCGGAGTCCCTGCTGCCAGACTTTTGGCCCAGTGGGTCTGGAAGCGGAGAAGTGCCATGGCTGCAGAGAGAGATGGCCGCGCGCACGTCCCACCCTCGTCCGGCCACGGTAGCGAGGACACCAGCCCCACTCTTGGGCGTCTTCGAAGGCGGTTGCTGGTTCCTCACCCCGCCGGCTGGAGCCCTGCCTGGACGCTGCCGAGTCGGGAGGGCGGACGGAGCCCAGTGACTCCTGCCCGTTGTCTCTTCTGAGCGGGGGGCTGATCTGGGGGCCCCTCGCAGCTCTGGAACGTGTAGTCCCTCTCCTGCTTCCGACCGACAGCCTTGCTAGACATATTAATTAGACCTATGAGCATTTGGGCAACTCTCCTGTCGAAATTTGCTCCGAGTTCAGAGACGGGAGAACCACGGCGCCTGCTCTCAGCCTTCAGGGCTGGCAGAACCTGCTGACCCAGGGCTGGAGGGCTCTTTGGTGTAGGTGCGGCTCCTGTCGTTGAGGATTCCCCAGGATTTCCTTCCGGTTCACAATCTACAATAGTCTTAAATGTCAAATCCTCTTACAAGCCGTCAATACCTACAAGATGCAACTCAGGCTCCTTGGCGCAACCCAGAAGCCCCTCCGAAATATAGAGATTGCTCCCCTCTCCAGCTTCAACTACCTCCCTTTCCTGCTTAAAGCTGGACGGGTTAGCAGATTCAGAGAGTGCGAGTTGACCCACAGACGATCCATTACTGTGCCTAAAATGCCTTTCTCTCCCCACCAACCGCCCCTCAGCAGTGCCTGCTCTTCCGTTGGGTCACAGTTCCACCTCCGGATGCCAGCACTACTAAAGACAGATGAACGATGACCACTTTGCCTTGTGGTTAGTCTGTTTTCTCTAGTTTGCTGATTCAGAGCATTTCCTCGGGTTCTAGAACCGCTGGGTTTGAAGTGTGGCTCTCTATCTGGGACTGCGTATTTAACTGCTGTTTCTTTGCCTCCTGGTTTGTAACCTTGGAGTGATACTAGCTAGCACCTCTCCTAAGAGGACCACTGTGAGTATTACATAAGGTGACACCTGAGGAACTCAGCACACAAGTGACAATCAGCTGACTTAAGTCAGGACAGGCCCTGTTCTAAAAATTGGAATGACTTTTATCTTCACAACAGCCCGATGAAAGTGATACTGTTACTATCAACATTCTCATTTTGCAAATGAGAAGAACCTACCTGATTGACTCTCTGACCTCATGTGCCAGGATTTGAGGCTAAGCTGTCTGGTTGCTGAGATTTTGCTCCTTCTGGTACCTCTCAGGAAGAGTCAGGCTACGATCTCATGCACAGAGGAAAGTGCTCAGAAGCTGTGGACCTGGGATCCTCTCCCCGCACTTGCACTTAACTTCTAACAGGCCGTTTGCCTCAGCCTGCTAACTTGAGCAGAGACCCCTCAGAACGTCACCTCTTGATCACTACTAATGCACAGATACCCAGAAGCATCACAGGCAGGTTGACTCCCTCAGCATATAGTAACAGCTCCCCCTGAGGGCACAATCTGAATGGCTGGAGTTGGAATTCCTGTAGGCCCCCCAGGGACCACTGACTGCTGGCAAAGAGTTAGCCTACAGGGCAGATGGGTTCTAACTGGTCTGGCGCTCAAAAATCACGTGCCACTTCCCTTACCACCCTTTTCTTCATTTTTTTTTTTCATTCTTCATTTTTTTAAAGGATGTATTTCTTTATATAACTGGAAAAGGTAAGTTTTCATTCCAGTCCCAAAGAAAAGCAATGCCAAAGAATGTTCAAACTACCACACAAGTGCACTCATCCCACATGCTAGCAAAGTAATGCTCAAAATTCTCCAAGCTAGGCTTTGACAGTACGTGAACAGAGAAATTCCAGATGTTCAAGCTGGACTTCAAAAAGGCAGAGGAACCAGAGATCAAATTGCCAACATCCCTTTGATTACAGAAAAAGCAAGAGCATTCCAGAGAAATAACTGCTTCATGGACTACGCTAAAGCTTTTGACTGTGTGGATCACAACAAACTGGAAAATTCTTCAAGAGATAGGAATACCAGACCACCTTACCTGCCCCCTGAGAAATCTGTATGTAGGTCAAGAAGCAATAGTTAGAACCGTACATGGAACAACGGACTGATTACAAATTGGTAAAGGAGTACATCAAGGCTGTGTATAGTCACCCTGCTTATTTAACTTCTTTGCAGAGTACATCATGCGAAATGCTGGGCTGGATGATGCACAAGCTGGAATGAGGATTGCCGGAAGAAATATCAATAACCTCAGATATGCAGATAATACCACCCTTATGGAAGAAAGCGAGGAAGAACTAAAGAGCCAGTTGATGAAGGTTAAGAAGAGTGAAAAAACTGGCTTAAAACTCATCATTTGAAAAATGAAGATCATGGCATCTGGTCCCATCACTTCATGGCAAATAGATGGGGAAACAATGGAAACAGTGCTTTATTTTCTTGGGCTCCAAAATCACTGCAGATGGTGAGTGAAATTAAAAGATGCTTGCTCTTTGGTGACAAACCTAGACGACGTTTTAAAAAGCAGAGACCAAACAAACAACAACAACAAAAAAGCAGAGACATTACTTTGCTAACAAAGGTCCATCTATTCAAAGCTATGGTTTTTCCAGTAGTCATGTATGGATGTGAGAGTTGGACCACAAAGAAGGCTGAGCACCAAAGAAGTGATGCTTTTGAACTGTGGTGTTGGAGAAGACTCTTGAGTGTCCCTTGGACTACAAAGAGATTGAACCAGTCTATCATAAAGGAAATCAGTCCCGAATATTCTTTGGAAGGACTGATGCTGAAGCTGAAGCTCCAATACTTTCAATACTTTGACCACCTGATGCGGCTCATTGGAAAAGACCCTGATGCTGGGAAAGATTGAAGTCAGGAGAAGAGGATGACAGAGGATGAGATGGTTGGATGGCATCACCAACTTGATGGACATAAACTTGAGCAACCTCCGGGAGATAGTGAAGGACAGGGAAACCTGGCGTGCTGCAGTTCATAGGGTCAGAGAGTCTCAGACATGACTGAGTGACTGAATAACAACAATAATATATACATACATATATATAATTTTGTTTATTTTTGGATGTGCTGGGTTTTCATTGCTGTGAGGACTTTTTCTAGTTGTGGCGAGTGGCAGCTACTCTCTAGTTGCAGTGCGGGCTTCTCATTGAGATGGCTTCTCTTGTTGCAGAGCATAGGCTATAGGGCACATGGGCTTCAGTAGTTGTGGTTCTTAGGTTCTAGTTGTGGCACATGGACTTTGCTGCTCCGCGGCATGTGGGATCTTCCTGGATCAAGGATCGAACCTGTGTCTCCTGCATTGGTGGCAGATTCTTTACCAGTGAGCCATTCATTCTTATGACAAGTAACTGTCTTGTGCACACTCAGTGTCAGGTATTCTAGACACCAGAGTCACAGCATTTAGTAAGACAAACACTTCCTGGTCTGGGACTTCCCTGGTGGTCCAGTGGTTAATACTCTGCAATTCTAATGCAGGGTTTTGATCCCTGGTCAGGGAACTAAGATTCCTCATGCCCTGCAGTTGGTCTGTTTCCAGCCCAATGGGATTAACAACTAAGTAACTATTTCCAGAATGATAATAAATTAAGCAGAATGATTTAATAGATGACTTGGAGGTTACAGGTGGCTAGGGGTCTTTTTCAAGAGATGGCACCTGCATGGGGCCTGCAGGAGTGTGCAAGGAAGAGCTGGGGACAGAGTATTGTGACCCAGTACTGAGACCAGGGTGATAGGAGAGATACTGGGTTTGCCTTTGGCTAGTCATATCCTCTCTGAATATCACCTTTCTCAACTGTAAATCGAGTAGTCAGTGTCTAATTAGGGGAAAAAAATCCACCCTAGGTATTTCAAACAGAATGGATTTAATACAGGGTATTGTTTGTGGAAGTGTTGGGCAGGCCAACTGAATCACTATCTTGAACATCGGGAACTTATTTAATTGTATAGTAACTATACATATATATGTGTGTGTGTGTATAAATATATATAGCTCAGTTAACAAAACAAAACTGCTTTCTTTTACCCAGAGACCGAGAACTGTGTGTGCTGGTCTCTCCTGCCATGTAACTCCGGGCTTTGAACCACCCAGGTTCACCTTGCCAGCCAGGCTGTCTTGAGGGGACCCTGCCTCATGCTGTGAGCAAAGAGCCCTCCCCAAGTCCAGATCCCAGCAGGGTTGTGCTGTCTTCTTCCCATCCAGGCCTCAGGATGCAGGCTCCTTGTTTGTATGCCCGGAACCTGTCCCCAGCCTCCTCCACAGCAGGTCCTGTCCCACCTGCACCACAGATAGACACAGTCAGCTCTGGGGATGGCAGCTCTGCAGGCTAGAGGGGCCTCGGGCCCCTGAGCTACTGCTTGGAGGAAAGCCTGCTGGCATGTACGTGGGCAGGAAAGTGAGCAGACTCCTGAGAGGTGGCTGCGGGGGCACCAGAGGGGGAGGGCCAGTCAAGCAGGGCCTGCAGCACCCAATACCCACCCCAGAGCCACCTGGCTGCTCCTGCCCTTCCTTCTCCCACTGGGACTTCACTGAGCCTGTCCTGTCCCTGCCCTACCGCTTCATTCAGGTTTGGGGTGGAGAGTAACATGGGTTTTACTTCTAGACCCCAGGCTGCTGTAGGGCAGTAGCTGGGTGTGTCCCTGGGTATCACCCCGCAAGGGCCCCACCACAGGACACAGACATGGGGGGGCAGCAACTGGGTATGGGTCCTATTCTCCTCACCTTTCTGTAGTCTCCTGACCCCCCACCCCCAGCTGCTATGGAAGCCAAGCTGGTCGTGACCACAGAGGCCCCCTGGGGGACC